ACGACGGTGAAAAGCCGTCGTAGTTTGACACCCAAATAGATGGCGGTCGATTTAACGACGGTTTTCAAAGCATTACAACGATGGTGGATCCCCGTCGTCTATTTCGTTTTTTGTAGTAGTGGCCAGTTGAATTGTGGGGACCTAGTAAGTATTTGGCGAGGCAACATGGCTTATATATGATAATTGCGTACATTAATCTATATCAATAATCCAAAATTTCTGTCCATGTTACTATTATTAATAAAATTAACCTTCTTGTTATTAATATTTATGCAGTGGATATATGACTCCAGAGTATGTGATGTATGGACATTTATCTATTAAATTAGATGTCTATAGTTTTGGTGTCTTAGTTTTGGAGATAGTAATTGGACAGAAAAATAGTTGCTTTCGTCAGGGAGAGGATGTGGAACATCTTCTAAGCTATGAAAGTAAAAAGGAATATATATAGTAGTTTGGTGTATTACTACAACTGAACGCAATCAAGAAAAGAATTTATATATCTCTGATTATATGTCTACAAATTGACAAATAAACCGTTGTTGCAGGCATGGAAAAGTTGGAGGGAAGGGACAGCTTCAAATCTAATAGATCCAACATTGAGGACTGGTTCAAGAAGTGAAATAATGAGATGCCTCCATATTGGGTTATTATGTGTGCAGGAAAATATAGCTGATAGGCCAACCATGGCTTCTATTGTCCTAATGCTTAATAGTTATTCTCTCACCCTTCTAGTACCCTCACAACCAGCTTTCTTTATGCATACTAGTGATGGATCTAACGTGTGCGTCACAACCGGGTCGGATCGATCCAAGACCAACTCACTTTTTACAGCACCAGAAGATGAGGTTTCATTGTTCCTCGTCGATAGTGAAGAGAGAAGTCTCCTGAACAAAGAAAACACCACGAAGTCTTCTCCTATAATTCTGCCATCACCAGATATTTCTTCATCTATCAAGGGAGATTGCTCTTGACAGAAGCAATCTCATATTCTTTCCTATATGTAGACCACTGTATTTATTCTAGAGATATTTACTTACTGTTATTAGCTTTGTACAAAGTCAACTCTTGTAATTATAAATTTGTGATGAATACAGAACAAAC